ATATGGTGGTACAAGACTAAAACCATAACTGCTAACAGAAAATTAGACTAGTCTGTCTAATAATAACAGGGGCATTTAGAACTACGCCCACAGCAGCAATGGAGCTACTACTAGCTTCTTCCATTACACCTTGTGGAGGAGAATGAGGTTATGGCGGCGGCATACAGGCTGTTTACTAACGGATTTGGAAGAGAACTTTCGAGAAAAGGACACCAAACAATGATATTAGACAAATTAAAACAAAATCCTGTATTAAGAATGCCATCAAATAGAACACCCATTATTCACGACTTCAGGAAATCTTTCGATATTCAAATACTAGAAAGGGCAAAAAGCCGGGAAAATAGGGAAAAAACAAAACGAATCAATCTGGTATACAGACGGTTCAAAAATGAAAAACAGCACATGAACTGGGATCTACCATGTGAACTCAGGGAAGACCATTAGTCTGAACCTGGGGTCACTGACAACAGTCTTCCAGGCTGAAGTACCAGCAATAAATGCCTGCGCCAAGGTCATGCTAAATGACTTTTAGAGATGAGGGTCTTTATCGTGACAGTCAGGCAGGCAGCCCTTAATGCACTGAAAAGGGTAGAAAGTACAATCTAAATTAATACTTGATTGTCAACAGTCCCTCCAGGCCTTGGCAGAACATAACAAGTTCACCATTAAATGGGTGCCGGGACATAAGGAAGTGTTTGGAAACAAGAAAGTAGACCTCCTAGCAAGGAAGGGAGCGAAAAAAACTCGAATTGGACCAGAACCCACATGTGGTATTTTATACCAACATGTTAAATTGGTGTTTAAGGAACAAATAAATAGAGAACACCATAGGCTCTGATTGGAACTTCCTGGACTTAGACAGCCCAAAAGATTCATAGACGACCAAACAAAATTAACTGCTAAACCTTAGCAGAAGCGAACTCAAGGCCGTAATAGGACTACTTACGAGACACTGCGGCCTTAAAAGATACCTAAATCTCTTAGGGATGTCTATGTAGAATATGTGAAGAGGAGGCGGACGAAACTCCTATTCACATATTATGCAACTATCAGAACATTAAATGGAAACGGGAATGGTACTTCGGGGTACAATATCTGGAACCTGAAGAAATCGCGAAAGCGTCCATCAGACACATTCTTGAATTAATCAAGAAAATCAATTTGATGGGGTAGAAACTGTGAGGGGTACAATAAGCCTAGAGCTTCAGTACGAGTGAACCACACCCTATTTCACATAGATAGATAGATAGATAGATAGATATTATCATATAGGCAGTATCTACTGTTTGTTTGGTACTGTGCGCGTTGTTGGCTCTTCTTAGACGCGGCTTGTTATAGTTGTACGCACCCTTAAACCACAAGGGTGAACGATAGTCGCAATCGGTAATTCGATATCCCTGTATCTGCATCTTATACCTCATACCTTCGGCTGTACTCACGTATTATAAGACTGTGTTTACTAACAAAGCTGTAGAAAGAACAGATGAAGAAGCTAGACCAACTTGGAAATAAATTAGAAAAAACAAAAATATATGAGAATAGGAAGAGAAGAAAATAATAATCAGAAAATCTTAAAAATACGGATACCTAAATTCAAAACAATCACCTTCTTCAACTATCTACGAACAACAATAAAGTGCCTAGGAAGGGAACGAGTATAAGAAAGATCCCTAAAGGCCCAAATCAAAAATGTTTTGAAAATTAAAGTCATCACTCAAATAATACTTAATGGGCATAATTGAAATGCAAATTAGAGTGACAATTCTATGAAGCGGTATTCTACGTAAAATTTATGTTTGTTGAATTTTGAAACAATAAATATTGCGGCTTCATTTCCTTTGTAAGAGAATATAGCATTTTATGACTACCACATTCCAACATTTTGTTAAAATATACTTTAATCGAAACGTATACCCGCTAGACAGGTAGACACTTAATTCACGCCCAAGAACGTCTTGCGAATGTATCTGTAACTCTACTTCTGTAAGTGCATTCTTGGACGGTAATAAACACGTACCGAACGTCGTAATCCTTGTCACCGTATTAAACCGGCTTTTAATTAGAAGACGTAAATGCTGATTAACAAAACGGAAGTATCTCTACATCAACTCTCGCAAATTGGAATGCAATTAAACTGTTAAATAAATTGTTTGACGTTTGCTAATTTAACGATAACGAAAAATTGGTTATAATAGACAATTGCCGAATATTTCTAGTATTGGAAAACGTAATTGCCGTGTATTAACATGTTGAATTATTTCGGTTAAATTGACTTTTAACCAACTTATTCATTGTAATGGTATTAATGCTAGCAAGCAATATTTGAGAGTTAAAAAAATGAAACATAAAATTTTACGTGGAATTAAAAAATTGAAACAGCGAAACTATAATATTATTGATAATTTTGATAAATAAAACAAGTATTTAGTACAGAACTAACTATATGACATCAGACAACATATTTGAATAATTAAATTTAAGGCAAACATAAAAATAATAGAGAACTTTTACAAGTCAAAAATAACATGGATTTCCCATAAGAAAGTTACTTTAATAGAATTTTCAAATTAAATAAATTAAATGAATTTCCAAGAATAACTTAACCTCAAAACTGAATTAAGGGGAAATTATAAAATAAAATGCTTTTATCTACTCCTAAGCTTAACTAAAAACATAAAATAAACTAGAAACATGATTTGGCATAATAATTACATAGTTTTAATTGATATAAATCAAGTTAAAGGCATTTTATAGTAATGAAAAATGTTAAATTTCATTTTTAAATAACAATCTTAATAATGGACTTTATGATGAAAGAAAAATACCAAAAGACTTTAAAAATAAAGCTCTTTTAGAGACATACAATAAGAAAACAGTGAGTGAATAAAAAAATTTTAAAGAAGATTTTGATTTAACCTAGAACAATTTTTCAAAAATTCTATCTAGTTGGCTGTGAAATGTAAGATTTATAAAACCGATTTCGCCGGCAAAAGCGAGGAGTTGGTCAAAAACACTTGTATGGATAACTTGTTAAAATATTCAAAAGAAAAAACAATTGCAATTATCTTAGAGAGAGATAGTAAATAAGAAATTCTTAAAAAAAAACGGTGAAACAGAATAAACATTAAAAATACTTACAATTTAAAACAGTATATGAACAAGAAAATATAAGGACCCAAGAAAAACGACGAATTTTCCCAATTTCCTGTATGTGTGTATCAAGGACTCCAGTGGGATAGAATTCTCAAGCTTGTGTGCAGAATAGTGACATCAATCCAGTGCTATAGTGAAGATCAAGGTACCTAAAACTAAACTTTAATTAATGATATCTAAAAGACAAAGAATTTAAATAAGTATTCTTAAATCTAATAAGACATTTTAATAGATAGGTTATATTTAGTTTTAATATTTATAAAGATAGTACTTACTATGATGTTAAATAACATCTTCATGAATTATTGTCATTGATATATTATAATAAAGCTGAGTGATTATTATTATTATAAAATCTAACCACATTTTAGCTGTAGTAGTTTAATACAAATACCTATATGAGTTGATTGTCTGTCAAGAGTGTCAAGTCATATGTTGAAAAGTTTTGACAGAGAAAATGCGGCAGATTTGAATATAATAATTGATTTTTTTTTACTTGTATTGTTTTTTTTATGTATATAAATAAAAAAGGAAAAGCATTTAATCTATTTAATAGTTAAATAAATACAATAATGTAATGGTGTGTTTTAATCATAATAATACATTTTGAAGAATTATTTATTATTAATCAAATTAAAAATAAAAAGCAGGCTGCCCCATCTACGAACAACTGTTTGAACCCTACCTAGAGATAAAGAGTTTGCTCTAAAAATATTTCAGTCAGTTAATAGTAAGTTCTGTCTATGAATACGCTATCCGGGAAGATAAAATAAATAATTGGCGCTCATATTCTTTTAAATTACATAAAAGATATGCTTTTACTTAAGTCATATAAAACAAACCATATCATCATATATAATTCACCGTCCAATGGGGCTTTATTTGCAAAAGTAGATATGACTGCCAGTATCGATAAAGTATTGTCGATTAAGAAATGATGTCAAGCAAGAATTTTTTGGAGGGTATCACTTTGAAATCTCAAATAGGAAATAGGAAATGTTTTAAGACCTAAAATGTAACCATGTCTAATAGAGTACGAGCCCAGTGGTCCCAGAAATAACTTATTTTCTAAAGGACAAAATGTGGAGCCTCAAGTAGCGTATATATGTGTATTGAATACCCCCTTACCTGCTAAGTTGGTTAGACGGTTAATTCACAGGTACCAGTTAAGAAAGGTAACTAAAAATAGGGTTAATTTTACTTAAACTCTAATGGTTGATTTTTATATATATTCCATAAAATATTATTACAAAATAATATTGAACATTGCCAGACACTTGTTGGCCATAACTTCCGCTAGACGCTCATAAATTTTTTTTGTAATTTTACTTATATTCTAATGTCTGGTTTTTATATATGTTATTTAAGGGACTATTTTAAACATATATTTATTCAGACAGACTAATTGTAAGAACCAAACATCCCCCAGACACCAAAAAAATTCAGCCGTGAGTATGCGCGACGGTACTATGCTCGTGCTTTGAAGCGAGTGAGATATTCAAGTGATTTCTCCCTCAAACTCACAGTTCCCCTACAGCCTACTGTGTATGTGTGAGTTTTGTCTACGTCTCAACCGCAACTCGGGTACCCGCGGTATTGCCAAATGCCAATACGTCAATTTGTACGTGGCATGCGGTACGAAATATATGGTGGCAATACAAAAGATACTTTGGGCACCCAAGTTGCGGTTGGGACGTAGACTCTAGTGTGTGTGTATGCTTGTGTAGCGTCACACACAATACACAGTATAGTATAATATCGAGTCTCGAGAGTACAACTGCTATGCCGGTTACAACGTGTTTCTTAACTGAAATTAAAGTATTTGCAGTGTTCAATAAAATACAATGGCACAGTTATTAAATTATGTATTTTGTAAAGAATGTGATGAAAATTTTACATTATTTATGGATGAAACTTTGAAAAAGTGTCAAGTAATTTTAAAACTGAAACGAACTAATAACTATTTCTATAGGTAATGATTCATCTCTAGTATAGTAGAAATTCAATTTCTATTGATATGACATGCAGATTATAAAATCGCCATGCATTACCGTCTAATCAACGCCTAACACTAACGCAGGTTTATTGTTGTACATTTCTACGTGTTTTTGGATTTTACAAAATTCTTATCGTCAGATCCGCTATAAGAAGCGTTCCATTTAAAATCCCCACCTTGTATATAAGTATGGTAAATTTATTGATTTAATAACATTTATAAATTCTCTCATTTACCAATTGTTCAAATTTTAACCCGAAAATTGGATTTGTAAATTTGTTTAAAATAAATCTTGTTTTTATTTTATTTATTTTATTTAACATCTTTATGTATATGTAATAAATATTGTATTATTTTGAAAAAAAAAATAATGTTTTTAAGTTTTTTACCTATATTCCACTGAACTTTGTACCCTTATTCCAAATCCAATCGGTTTTGAAGTTTAAACAATTATAAAGTTTATTGCACACCATATAGGTTAGTATTTCATTATTTTTTTATAATAAGTTATGATTTTATCTTTAATAAGATACGTCACTGGTATCGACAGACTTTTAGTTGCGTGTAACAGCAGCGTTGCTGGACGAGATTTTCGATTACAGTCTGTCTTCTTTCAATCCGCATAAAATATCTTCTTTCCGTTTTCCAATGATTGGGACTAAACAAAACATACTTTATGAATGAAATGCATCATTTATTGTTTCTTTTATCTAAGCTTATTACAAACCTGCAGTTTTGACATTAGATTTTTTGTCCTTATACATATTTCTAACAACATTTTAAAAATTTTAAATTACAGTTCATCTTTTTTGTTGTCTATAATATGGAAAAGGTAATAGAAATTACCATTTTAGAAGGTTTACATCAGGGATTTCCAAAGTTGACGATACCGACACCTTAGGGTCGAAATCGGTTTCCCAGGGGTCGACATAAACGAATTATAGAGGTCGACGTAACCTAAAAATTGACCCCTATTAATTAACACAAGTTCTTATTTGAAACTTTCAAGATGATACTGTATAAGTTGAGTTACATGAAAAACAAGTCGATAAGCGAGAACAAGTTCGTACAAGATGAAAAACTTCAGCAAATCAATAAGCGTGGACAAGTTCATGCAAGATAATGAGTTTGTGCGTACAAGTCTTTTAGGTACGTTTTGACTTGCTCGCTATTTGACGCATATACGCGATTTAACACGAACGAAATCATATTCAAGTTCAAATCCAAACATGCTCCTAATATTGAACTTAGATTGAAAGTTCGTTTGCGTTTTGAAATTCGTTGGAGCTTGAATGATAATATACTTATCTACTAATTTATTTTAAGAGATTACAAGGTGTTTACAGAGTTAAACTAGAAGGAAGATATATAATGCTTGGCATTCTATATTATACTCTTCGCAGTTAAAGAAACTCCCTTTTACCCCCATTTTATACAACACTTATTATATTGAAACTTTAAGTCTACCGACGAAGTCGCGCTATTTATATTAAGCCAACTCTGCTCCAGTAGATTCTCTGTGATCTAGAATGTCTCGGAATTCTTCCTCTGTGAGTCAGCCGGCACGCAACAGTTTTTTTTTGGTAATTTCTCGAAGGAGTGCGTTTGTCTCTGTTTTGCGGTATCGAAACATAGACGAGGCGGCTTGCAACGGCGAGAGGAACAGGGTTGGCTTTAGGTGGTTACATGACATTATAATACACTTCACAGACTACTGTGTGAACAGTGTAATACCAGTTCCGCCAACTTTGTTAGAAATTCATTATATACTTTATGAGCTTTCAGATACGTTGAGATCATTTGTGAATTAAGCTGTTAAACTAAATTTATTTTAACATAATTATTCATTCATATCATTTACAGTAATTACCTGCATGTTTATAGTAAATATCATTCAAGTTTTCATCTACACTCCCATGCCCTCTTAATTTCCTACTCATTGATGCTTTCTATAATTAATTAAAACTTAAAACACAGTCGGATAATTTTATATTTCAATTATAGAACACCAATCAGTACAACAGTACTAGTTGTTGAAAAGCAGCATATTATCTATATATTTAAAGGACTTATAATAAGACTTTTGTCAACCTGCATCTTGCCACTTATATTAGACGAAAACTTCCGAGATATTTCTCTTGTTCATTAAATATCAAGGCATAGAAGTTTCTCTTTATTAATTACTAAAATATATTAAAGTTTATTTTGATTATTTTGCCTTTAATACGGAGTAGAGTTAATATTTTGTATACTAACATTATCTTTATTAAATTATGAGAAGCTACTTCGCAATTCTTGAAGTTTACTTTATTAACCTACATTTATAAGCTTGTAAAGCATAAATTGAGCCCCAAAAGATCAAATGGTACGTTGCAATAAAAAGTGACGTTATTGTGCCACTCATTCAAATCCTAAGTAAATAGTTTGACAACTTTTCATCTTACATCTTAGATTTTATTAAATATCTTATTAATCTAAATTTTAAAGTAATCTTTCAAAATTACGAACTCACAGCAGGATCTAGAACATGGAGGTAACCTCATCTAGATTTTTCGAGAGCTATGTACACGTACTAGTTACATTTCCTTTAAAAATATTGTTACGCTGGTTTTTAGTATCACAATTTATTTTAATTAAACTTTAACAACAATTATACAACTGATGCAATAACTCCAACTGATAACATTAACGTTTAACGTCTATCATAAAAATGAACTTTGACGTCAGGTCGTCGACTTATATAGCTTGCCTCGACCTTCTAGAACTTTCTCGAACAATCTGGACTTTTCTTTGACAAGGAATGACATTTCGAGACATTTCTGGAATATTCCATCTTCTTCATTTAATCGTACCTTTACTTATGACGACCGCGGCACGCTACAGGGTGCTGCGTTATATTATTATGAATTATACAGAGTGTCCCGTAAATATACTGACAAACATTTTTGTCTAATAAACATGTACAGTGTCTCATTAAGAATGGGACGCATAGCAACTAAAGTTTCTTAGAATTAAATAAGACGATTAAATGAAACATGTTTACCAAATATTTAAGTGTTAAGGTTGAAAATTAAAAAAATTATTAATGGCTATATTTTATTTCTCAGTATAATTTTACTTAATTTGGTAGACATTTTAGGCGTCATGAGATACGCCTATTAGCAAAAAAATCAGTTAAATAAACTTTGCCAGTGGCTTACAACCCCCTCTAAATTTTTACGCCACTCTCCAAAAATTTATTTGGACTACATTTTTAAATTTTTCGATATTTTTTAATTAAACCGTATACTCTTGTTGGGAACTTATAAAGTGATTGGTTTTCGTGGTATAGTAAACCGTGGAACTTATTGAGAAATTAATATTAAAAAATCACAAAAAATTTTCAAGTAACCTAGTGATATTTTAATAATAATTTCTCAATAAATTCCACGGTAACCTATATATTTTATTGTAAAAAACAAAACCTAAATATTTCAAAAACCTTATTTTTAGTTTTTTCTACTTCATCTAATCAATAAATAATAGTAAAATTAATTATAATTCGAAAATTGTTGTTGAAGTCTTACTTTCTCATAAGACACTGTACAAACACACACATTTAAAAAAAAAATTCTCAAAAATTTGCACGGTAAGGTATAGTTAAAAGTTCACTATTAGATAAATAAGGACATCTACTATTAGAAAAAAATTAATTTTAGTCATAATCTAATATTTTTTATTTAACATTGGTGGCGAAAGGACCTCCTTAATATATGTTTCTAAAGAAAACAAAAGTTCATATCTTAAAACTAAAAATACATTGGTACATCAGTACTAGTGACACTTACTCATTGCACAAAAATCTTATCAACTAAAAAAGGGGAAAATAAAATTACTCAATGATGGCATGGAAATAGAAAGTCACAATCGGCCAAAGAAATAATTAAATATAACTAAGTATCCTGAGGAATTAATATTTAATAATGAAAGATAAATATTTAGTAAACTTTCTTGTTCCACCCCTAAATGGTTTATAACTATAGCTAGAAGAAAAAAAAAAGAGAAAAGAACACAATAGCAAATTAAACCCCATTAACAATAAAAGTTCATATTAAACATGATTAATAAATGGAAATAATAATAAATTCTTAATTAATAATAGTGAATTACTAGATTCACCTTTATTGGTGTGACGACCCCTGGTTCCATCGTAAACCAATCAGCTGCTTCCACCCTGAACACTGAACAATAAAAAGGCGTGTCACTACCCCTACTACGGACTGTAGTAATGAGAAATGGTACACTACTAGGTGCACTGAAATTAATAAAATAATAGGACTTATCTATTCCGCCGTTGATAGGGAGGTCCTAGGATTAGGATTCCCCACAGACGTAATTTTCCAAATTACGCCCTGGTACTTGGACTTAGGATGAACGTTGGAAGTCTCGGAGAGGTTGAGAAAACTCGGGTTCCAGCCTGGAATTTCTTCTAGGGTTACCTTGGAAGTCACCCCTTCACACTCACTGCGCCAAGACAAGAATAAAAAGGCCAGTAGTAACCCGAACGACTCGAGAAATCCATAACTTCTGCCATCAAAGGCCTCTGAAGATGGCGGGTGCTTTCCCGCTGTTCCACGTGGCTGCATAAACGAAGTCAGACGATCCTCCTAATTGGAGTAGTTTCCACACAATCAAACACCAAACAAAACTCAAATTCAACCAATTTGCCTGGTTATATTCCAGAACCAATAAAGTGGGAAACTTTTTGTAGGTTGTAGCCTAAATCCACCACTTACCGGTGACAAACTAATTTTAATGCTCAACAACCTCGACAACTTATCAGCACCACATTTGAAACGAGAGAGACCGAATTTTTTCCAAGTCCAATCGAGATCTCTCTTCGTACCCAAAAAAAAAAAAATAATAATGGCCTTTTAAATGTAGACCTATTCAGCCCACGTTACCTTGACAGGTGCTCGGTAGATAATGTTACTTAAAATCACTAATTACAAATTTACAATAACCCTAATGACAGTAATACTATAATATTTACATATTAGAATCTAATATCACCAAAACAAAAACCCTAATCAATAAAAAAAAGGTAATCCCATTCGACGTTGGTTGCATGTGGACCGGAGCAGAACCACTCGAACCAAGACCAGTTATCGCCTGTTATCCGAGCAATTCGGAACAAAGCGCATAAGCGCACTGACAATAAATTTGACAACTGGTAGTAATTAGAACATAGGCATGATTACAAAAATAAACAAATCAATTAATTACGGATTTATATTAAATTATATGTATTATATTAATGTATTCAAAGGAGAATAATATAAAAGGAAATGTTACGAATAAAGAAATGCACTAATTAACACAAAATAAGGATAATATATTATACGAGGTAGGGTTCGAAATTAATAACTAAATTTAATAGCAAATATTACTTAAAAATAAAAACGGAGTGTAACAACGTATGCAATTATTACCGAAATGCAACTGTTCCAATTATATATAAATCCTAAAAGTATTAATATTTTATTAGTTTAATTATATTATAAAAAATACAAAATACAATTATTAAAAATAAAATGACAAAATCATGCTCAGTGAATTCTTCATAAAGAAGTCCAAAAAAATTTGAGCGGCACACACATAATATGTATAAAATAATTTTATCTTAATATTTATATTTCATAATTTCTTTTTTATTTTCAGGTGGAATGCAAGAAAGCCCAGCCAAAAGAAGTGATGCTTCCCGCAAATCTGGCCAAAACTCGTGCGGCCGGTCGGGGAGCCTACGGTGAGTTTCTCATGCTCAACCCCGGCCCTGTAACAGCGACATCTAACGCGTCTTCCGTCTCCGCTCTGCGTTATGCACCTTATCCGTTACCTCTCAACACCACTCCTACCATTCCACTGACGGCTATCGCTGTCGGACCGGCTCCCCTCCATTATTCCATATATGACGTAGCGGGTTGCAAAAGAGTATTCGCCCCTGTAAGACCTCTCGCGGCGACCAGGGCCACTCCGACTCTGGCGTATTCCGTTAGTGATTTGGTAGGTTTGCAGGGGCTCGAAATTCCAACTACGGTTTATACAAATATGCCGCCAGGACTGGGGTTGTAAATTACATAAGTTTTTTTTTGTCTCTCTTTGTGCGCTTCTGTCTATTTGTATGTTTCAGTATTAGATATAAAAGTAGTAAAAGTCAGTGTTATGAATAAAAATTTCAATATGATATTTACCTAAGAATGAAAGTTGTCAATATTTTTGACGAGAAATTCGAATGTAAACAGCTTTTCTTGATGTCAAAGAAATGTCGAATTTCTTCATGTTATGATCAAATACGAAGTTTCAATATCATTTATTGTTTATCAAAGAATTATTTATTTATTAGTCCAATTAAATAACGAAAAAAGGCCCCTTCGGACTTACATTAATTTGTAATTGGATGAAACAAAAAGGACCTTGTGTATTTTGATGTGATCTTTCCGAAAAAAAGAAAAAAAAGATGTAGCAGTTTTTCAATTTTTTTTAAATTAGGAAAAACCGGGTTTTCCAGAATTTTCCATTGTAAAAATGCTAATTATCTGGGCAAGTATCATTCCGATAGTGAAAATAAATGCACCATTCGAAAGAGGAGGCAAAAATAGTTCGGAAATTCATTGCACAGGTAGTTTTAATGGCGAATTTCTCGCCGCCAGAAGTGCTTTTACCAAAAAGTCGTTTTTTCGTTTTTTTGATCAGAACCATGGACATGAAATTTGCGATGAATTTGTGGCGAAATTATAAATGTTAGACATATGTGCCCATGAGAGAAGTTGCGTATTTTTTTGTTGGCTCTCAAATAAAATAAGTCCCGCGGCGAAATCTGACATAATTTTTCGGGAATTCGCAGGAAACCAGAGGCGTAGTTTTTTTTTTAGTTTTTTTCCCATATGATTTTTTCCGGGTTTTCCGAAAACATCTAACAAAAAAAATATATTTGAAAAAACTAACTTCGCCATCGAAAAGGGCACAAAAAAATACACAAATAGGTATACTTTAAAAATGTTAGGAAATTAATCCTAAGCCTGAGTGTAAGTTCCAACTTGGTGATAAGCTTGCTTTTTGTTCGCTAATATCTGGTAATTCTATATTTTGCACAAAACTCAAAAAACGTCTTATAACAAGTCAGTAAAATACAATTTAATAAATTTTAAGCCTAATAAGTTTAGATATGTAAGAAATTTAAAACTGGAAAACGCAAAAAAATCAAATTACAGTAATGTAGTGTATACACCAGTTTTGGATCCCGCGGAGCGCGTGTAATGGGACTTTTGTCGGGAGAATTCTACAACTTAGAAGAAACATACACACTTTAAACTTTGTATACACATTTAGAAGACATGAAATTTGGGTTTGTTTAATTTTTAGACAAAAAAACTAAAAATTGTCAATTTTAGGCAACTTTTCTCAAAAACCGTGTTTTTTGGTCGTCACTCAATGAACAGTGGTCAAAAAATGAGATAAAATATATTTGCAGAATATATTTGCATTTTTGGCATTTTTGTGCCACTTCAAACTTTCGAAAAAAAAATTTATTTTTTTTAAGGAAAAAAAAATTATTTAATTGTTTGATATCTTATGGTTCGATCTCGGTGAAATTCACACACACATAAGATTTCACATTTAAGAGTAAGCTTTGTAAGTGGCACTAAAAAAATTCAAATAGTTTGGCCGTTATAGGCAAACAATGAAATTAGGACCGCGGTGCATTTTGCCCTTCCGCCATATGCCCAATTTTGGGATTTTTCTTGCCCCTTTCTGGGAATCACTAGTCACATCCCTTAAGTTCAAAACGTATTTTTGTTTTTTCAAATATCTTAATTTTTAATAATGTTATAAAGAATTTAGTGTTTGAACATTTAACAAATTCAATTTTTCGACCTTCGTCGCCTCAAAATACTAAACAAATTTCAATCGTCCATACCGCGAGAACGGTGCATCGGATCAAAATTTCTCAGGAGACATAAAAATTAGCATTTTTCCTAAGCTTTTAAATGTCGTAAACTGCGTTTTAAAAATATTGATTTATTTCCGACATGCGCCGCCGCAAAATTGAAAAATTGACAAAATCCAAAATTTCGGCACTTTCGAAAAACTGCTACATTTTGTTTTGCCTTTTTTCGAAAAGATCACCTCAAAATACATAGAATCCATTTTGTTTCATCTAATTACAATTTAATGTAAGCTCAAAACCCGTAATTTAATTCGATTATTTTTAAATTTAATTTTTTAAAGTAGTACTTTAAAAATAAATAAAAATCTTTCTTTAATGTAATCTTTCAGTGAAAAGCACAAAAATATAAGTCCAATAAAAGTAAAATAATTATTACCATATACTAAACAGATATTTTCACTATTTAACAATATTTATCGTCTAATAATGAAATTAATTATATTAGAATAATACAGAAGAATAAACAGTTTTTTTTATTCGTATGATCACACCATAACTTACATATCATACAATGTAGCAGTAACACTTTTTAGATAGATATGGACATTAAAAAAATGATAGATTTAATTCCAGAAATATGATATGGAAATATATTTATTTCAAATCAAAATTAAGACAATAAATAGAAAAATGTAGAATAGCATTCGACTGAATAAATATTCAAAATAACTTCATCATCTTTATTTTGTTAAGTTTTATTACATTGAAACTTGAACTGAACAAAAAATATATATAATAATTTAAGAGAAAAACATCAATAGAAAACGGACATTTATTATTGCAGCCAATTAAATTAACGATTGAACGAACAATAATTATTGACCTGATTAGAGCATTTTTCAAACGCAATAGTAGTTTGTGCAGCAGGAGTATATGATGGCGCTCAAATTGTACAAAATGTTTTTTCTACGACCCATTAACAAAAATCTACAAAATTTCAAAAATGAAGGTAAACTAATTGACACAAAGTTTTGAATTTATGAATTTTACTAGTTTATAGAATAAACCTAAAAAAATAATTTAGTTTTATCCAGGATTTAAACCCTGGACGTTTCGCACAGGAACTCATCGCAAAAACATGTAAAATTAAATTCGTCTTGAATAATTTTATTTAAATTTGTAAATAGTAACGAATATCTGGTATCCAGTAGACTTATATGACCTATAATGTCCGAATTTTGAGTCTTTATATTAAGACAAAATATAAGAGATTGATTAAACAAGAAATTTTTTAGATAATTTAGAGTTGATGTCGGATCTGTTTTCAAATTATTAAACGTTACGTCCTTCTCGAGTTATTTCAAAAAATATAAAAATCACTGTTAGTTGGACATACACCAAAATATTTCGCTCTTAAAACACTTTTTAATGGAAAATATTTTTGTAGAAAATAATCCAAATTGTCTATTGTTTTCGAATTACTTACCGTAAATTTGTTATTTTACGTAGCGACCATCTTAGGTTTTCACATAATAATATTACTCTAAATTATCTCTAAAGTATCTGTTCGCTGGATTTACAAAATAGAAGTTGTGAGAAGCTCTGTGAAACTAGCCCCCCGAAATTCGAAAATTTTAGTTTTAGAAGCCCCATACGTTTGACCACCTATTGACCATGTTTGGCCACCCTCAGAAACCAAATATTTATAAAAATATTAATAGCCGAGTGCCCGCTGGTCCCCCGAAATTAATATTTTTTAAAACTGACTGCACCATAAAATTAACCAATTTCTGACCATGATGACCACCCCTTAGATTTTTTTTAACATTTCTTACAATAATTTAAAGGGGGTAAATTATAGAAAATCAAGAGTTCTAGGATGAATTTTAACTTTGAAGGATAGATCAATGGCCAGAAAGGCACAATAGGGCGTAATAAATATCCATAAAGGTTTAAAATTATGTTTTAACGTTTGACCACCCCTAAAATAATTTTAATGTGCCCAAGTAGTGTGAAAATTCGAAAAATAAAATTTGGAAATCGAATTTTAACTTGGGAAAAATGGTCAAACGACATAAGTTTACAATATAGATCCATAACAATTTAGAATTGTTTTGACGTTTGACCACCCCCTAAAATAATTTTAATGTTCCCAAGTAGTGTGAAAATTCAAAAAATAAAATTTGGAAATCGAATTTCGGCTTGGAAAAAATGGTCAAACGACATAAATGCGCAATAAGGCACCATAATGGTTTAAAATTATGTTTTGATGTTTGACCACCCTCTAAAATAGTTTTAGTGTTTTTAAGTAGTGTGAAAATTCGAAAAATAAAATTTGGAAATCGAATTTCGGCTTAGAAAAAAAGTTCAAAAGACATAAGTTCAGATTAAAGACCCATAACGATTAGGAATTATGTATTGACATTTGACCACCCCCTAAAATAATTTTTATGTGCCCAAGTAGTGTGAAAATTCGAAAAATAAAATTTGAAAATTGAATTTCCACTTGGAAAAAATGGTCGAACGAGATAAGTTTACAATAGAGACCCATAACGATTGAGAATTATGTTTTGACGTTTGACCACCCCCTAAAATAATTTTAATGGGACCAAGTAGTGTGAAATTTCGAAAAATAAAATTTGAAAATCGAATTTCAGCTTGGAAAAAATAGTCAAATCAAATATCACCGCCATAAGAAATAATAATGTTACGGTGGTTAATTTGAGAACAGAAAACAATTTGGATTTTTTTACAAAAATATTCTTTAATTTGGAGAGTAGTAGAAAAAAAGTTCTTTCTGTCTCACAAAGTTAAGTTATTGACCAGTTTCTAGCTGTTTTTTTTTTAATATTATTGAAATAAACATACAATTTAAAACGGAAAAATAGTACTTTGAAAATAAATTAATGTTTCATTATCTTTTTCTACGCCCATGTCAGTAAACGTTAAAAATCACACTGTCAACATTCCTTGTAAATGACATTAATCAATAGCACGTAATGAGATCTCATAACATACACGTGAGTTTTGATAAGAAAACTTAAATTTGTTAGTTTAATCAAATTGCAATCAAATTTTCATCTACGAACGACTTTATTTGGTCTATTTACATAAATTTAGTCAATTGAAAAACATAAAAACTTTTAGCATTAGCGAGATACATTTTGTATTAAAAAAGTGATGC